TGTGTGCCCCCTCTCCCCGCACCCCCCATGAGCTGCTTATGGCACCATCCCCCACCCTGCCCAGCCATTCCCCACAGACTGACCTGTTGGGCTGGAGTGGGGGCGTGGATCTTCCATTCCTTTTAAATTCCAAAAGTGATCTCCAACCTATTAAGATTGGAGACCACTGGTCTAAATGGATGAATGTATTGACACTGGCAATTCTGTATGCATCAAAGAGAAGAGATTTGTGGAAGGCCATGGTCACTAACAATCTGTTTGGATATGATAGAAAGAGAGAGGGAGAGAGAGAGAAAAAATCTATCCTAGGAAAAGTCATATGTTTACATCATTCTTACCTAACAGTTTTCATTTTTTCAAAGCAATGGCAGGGATGTGGGCTGAATGGCAGATTTTGTCATCCTTCTGTTCCAGTCTACCACTCCTGGGGCAGAGATTAGATAATATATGTAACCTCAACAAATGACCCACCAATGGCTTGTAAAGAAGTTCACAACTTCAAGCTGAAGAACAGTTAAAATGAGTGAAGTATTAAATGTCACTAAAATACAGTTAAAGTCTTCAGAGTAGTGGCTTTTAGCAGATATAAGCATTCTTCTGTTTAGTTAGATATATTGGAAGCTTGTTCCACTCCTGTATGTTGGGCTGAGGTAGGAATATACATCTTAGTTCAGTTTAGCTTACTCGCTTTCAGAGTCACCATCCACCAATTAAAATATTTAAGACTACTGTGAAATTAATAAAAAATGACAGAGTCTCTCCTAAATTAGTAAGGGAAGCATTATCCTTCACCTAAAGGTAGCTGCATTATTTATTGCTTTTTTTAGGAAAAAGGGAGATAGTGAGTCTACATTACATGGGAGGATTGTGAGATTTAATGGGAACTACTCTGCGACACACAGGGAGTGCAGGGATCCAGGGAGTGCATGATGCAGTTGCACTTCCCTTTGATTCCCGTTTCACCGGACATGTAAAATCAACTATCCAGGAGGTGCAGCAACATTTCTATTTAGGCAATCCTGATGGAGTCAATTGACTTCGTGACTCATTATAATCTACCTGATCCCTGCTAATCTCTCTTCATTCCACAGGTATTAATGACCTTCGCTCCTTTTTAATGATCTTGATATTCCATTGATCAAGCTATTTTGCTGTTTGTTAGCTGTTCCTAGTAATATCTCTCTTCTCTTTCACAGCCTTGAAGTCTGTTTTTAGCTCTAGATAAAAACCTGATCTCAGGTGTGGTAATATT